GGACGTAGACAGGTGCAGCCAGCATTCCTGAGTGCGCTTGTGGTCTGAAGCCACTCGGCGTAGGAGGTGATCGAGTCCCAGTGTCGACCATGAGTGGTGCTGAGATGTCGAAGAAGATTGGTAGAGCTGGTGGACTGAAGACATAGACCACAAATGTGGCCAAGCCTCCTCATGAGAGATTTGTAGCCTGTCATGTGATCGAAGGTGCCACCATGGAGTCCCGTGACAATGACAGGATGATGCCACAGCAAGGGAGGATCATCCGGAAGTGGAGCTTGGCAGTGTCCGCCGTCGATGTGATGCTTCAAGGCTGCAGAGAAACTCCTGGTCACAATGAGAGCATTGATTACGTCCAGGTACTTGGTCACGATCTGCCAGAAAGGTTCTGGCCGTAGTCGTGTGAGGATGCTCAAGTGCTTGGTGTTGATGGAGGCCAGCCATCGTGACAAACTTCCTGGGACACGAGGCACAGGAGAATTGAGCATCCATGCGCTGAACTGGTTGAGGAACCGGTGGAGGGCTCTCTGGACATTCAGCTCGGTGACGGCGGTCAGCAAGAGCCAGACCAAGTTGCTTCTTGACCGGACAGGTGTGCGTCCGGGACTTGAACTCCTGACCACACAAGTCGCAGGGTGATGGCATTCTGGCTCTAGTCACATTGGGAAGAACTTCACTCATCAAGTTGTAGGCCTCAGGGTGGTCCCTGCCCATGTGAGCAGACATCTGTTGAAGCCGTGCAGACCAGAAGCCACAGAGGATGCATCTCTGTGAGAGGAAGTAGCATAGCTCCCTGTCTTGCCTCAGTGGTTGAAGTTCTCCTTGATCGTGATAGGCCAGCAGCTGACGTCGATGTGCCAGAAGTTGCTCTGGAGGTGCCTTAGATGAGTCAAAGCTGGGACATGCATAGTGCTGGATGTGGTGAGTCAGATTCTGCCACGAGATGAATGGGTCCCCACAGTGCCGGCAGACCGGTTTGCCATGTATGGAGTCTCTAGCAATATCCAGGTTCGGACCAGCGGGTGGAACAATTCCATGTGAGTGCATCTCATGTCGACGAAGCGTGTAGAGATGACGAAAAGTCAAACCACATCTCGGGCAATCCAGTCCTGCCTCCGCGAGTGGGAGAGATGGAGCAAGGTCATGATCATCCAGTTCCTGCAGCCATGTGTGGGTTAGTTGAAGTGAGGTCTGCAGTCCTGTGGTGTCAATCTCACAAACAACATCATCTTGTGCAAGTGAGTCCAATCTGGCCTCATGCCGGGATAATTGCGCGGCCATGCGGTCGCGAAGCAAGATGACAGGGTGTCTGAGATTGTAACCGTTGAGAAAGTCTGCATGTTTGATGTGTGAGATGTACTGGTGGTCTCTCATCACTTGCCGAAGTTGAGGAAGAAGTGTCTTCGAAAACTGAGTGAGTGTGACGTGATCAACACCAGTTGAGTCCAAACCATAGAGTGCAATGGGAAGGACACACGTTTCCCACAAGGACAGCTTCTGAGCCGTGTGAGTCGTGGAGTTGCAAAACCATGGTTTCATCTGACGGTGTCGATGTGTACATGCTTTCAATCTCTTCTGCAATCTTCTGCATTGTTCCCCGCAACATTTGCTTGTATCCAACTGAAATCCCGAGATAGTCTTGGTGCTCCCGTAAGGGAATCTCATACTGTGTGTGGTGCTCTTTTGGAATCCGAAGCGTTGTCCCATGTTGAGACTGTTTGACAAAAGCCTTGTTGGCTTGTGCACGATCAGGGCCACGCCATTGGATGATTGCCGCTGATTTGGTAATGTTCACCTTCATACCCAGTCGTTCCAATATGTTGATGAGTCGTCCAAAGTAGGTAAGACCCCGTTGGAGTTCATCCCAGCTATGAAAAACAAAGCATGCATGACCATCATCCGCATAAAAAGTGCAGTGGTTCCTCATCCAATGAACATCAGTGTCAGCAGCCACATGTTCGAGGATCAGGGCAATGAAATAAGCCCAGAAAAAGGGCGCTCCACGACATCCTTGACGGATGCCTTTGGAATGGGCTGTTCAGCTTCCAATCCTTTCCATTGAACAATGTAGGCAGTTTCTGTGTGCCAAGTGAGAAGCAACAAAATGATATCTTCAGGAAGCTGAAGAAGTCTGACAGCATCTCTGAGGTGTTCACGAGGCATTGCATCAAAGGCCCCTGTGAGGTCTAGAAAAAGTTGACAGCCACCGTACACCTTAGGACGGGTTGCCCGGTCATTCACTGAAGCATTGGCATCATATTTCCAGCGAGCCAGCAGGGTTTGAACCTCGCGAACGTGGGAGGTGACTCTTGCTATTGCTTCCCATGTGCCACGTCCAGGTAGATAGGCAAACTGTGGATACCAAACCAACCCAGGAAGAGCAAAAAAAGCTTCGCATGTTGCACGAAAAGAGACATGATGGTTTTCGAAAGCGGAGTTTGTAGTGCAATTGGACGAAGAGCTTTTGGCTCTGCAGGAGGTTTGTTGGGCTTCGGAAGTAGAACAACCCAGCCTCTTCTCCATTCCTCAGGGATGTGGCCATGAGAAAGCCAGAAGGAGCACCATGAAGTCAGCAGAGGCCCAAGGTCTTCCGCCAGTGCCTTCCAAACAAAGCTTGGAGCAATGTGTTGTGGCACTCCCGTGTGAGAAGAAATGGTCTGAAGTGCCCTGGTCAGATCTGAGGCCTGAAAAGGAAGTGTCTGGAGACCAAATGAAGGAAGGTCCAGGTCAGTGCCCTGATAGAGTTCCTGCATATATTGTGTGATCCAGTCCAGTTCCTCCTGAGGTGACATCAAAGTGCCCTGCGAACGTCGAAGTTGAGGACGTTGTGCATGAGTCTTGGGCGTAAGGGTTTGAACCAGTTTGAAGTATTGATGACTCTTGTTCATGGCCCAGAGGTGTCGAGCAGCTTCGATGGTGTTGTTTAGCTTTAGGCGTTTGGCCTCCCTGGCTTTGTTTTTGGTGTTCCGTCTCCATCGGCTAACCTGAGTGTTTCTGAACCAAGCCACAAAGACCTTGTGGATCTGAGTTGCAGCCATGGGGACTTCCGGAAGAGCTCGAAGAGCTGGAAGATCTTGAGCCCACGGTCGAAGTGGTTGATACCTGAGAGCATGGCTGTCCATCGTCAGTGAGGTCTGTGGTCTGAATTGTTTACATGCTTCCATGATGGTGTTGTTCAGGGTCTCGATGGAGGGAGCCTGTGCGTGAAGTTGTCGAACAGTATCACCCAGGTCGGAGATCCATGAAGTCCAGAGATCACTTTCCTGTTCCCAGTGTTGCTGAAGAAGAGTCCGTGTCACTTTGGGAAGGCCCCTGTTGGGAGTTTTCCATGCCCGCCATTTGTAGGGGATGTTGTGCGTCATGGGGATGTGATCTTTGGTGTGACTAAAACGAAGAGGAAGCTGGTCCAGGTAGATCGGATGTTTGGCAAGGGAGTCACTGGTCTTGTGCCTAACCAAGATGTAGTCGATCCGGGAGGCAGACCCTCTGTTGCCCAGGAAAGTCGGTCCCAGAGAAGTGTCCCAAGTGTTGAGTGCAGTGAGTCCGTGGCGTCGAATCAGGTCACTGAACTTCCCGGAGTCAGGGTGTCTAGGACCTCGATGCCGGCCGGGTTTCATCGAGAAGTCACTCAGTCCAACACAGTGTGGGATGTGGTCCAAACCAGTGACCACCACATTGCGTCCTGGCAGCCCCTTGAGAGCCTGATCACAGAGTTGCCAGATCTCAGATCTGACTGAGAGACAGGCTTGGTCCTGAGTACTCCAGGCATGTTGATAGACGTTCAGGATGTCAATGGATGTGCAGGACATATAGAGTCTAACATGTAAGATGCGACCCTTCTTTCTCGCCAGCTGATCCGCTCCTGAGGACAGAAGGAGCGCCTCACAATTGTGAGAACACCGCCGGCCCAGCCGTTGAGTGGTCGTCCATCCAGTCCCCCGTGAACCCCCACCTGGTGTCTTGTATAGTGAGAACTGAAAGGGTTTGAGGGATCATCCATGTTTTCAAAATGTCCAACTTGTAGTTGCTAAGAGCTCCAATGTTCCAGTTGAATCCACTGAATCTGTTGGCCTTCAGCTTTGATCCCGGAGGTTTGGGACCTGTGGGTTTCTCGGTGGTGAGGACCTGAGGTGGGTTGTCAATTTGTGAGGTTCCAAGCATGGAGGCGCAGTACAGCTTTCCTCTGTACCAGGTCATACCATGCAGTTGAGCCCTCTTGAGAGCACGAAGAAAGGATTTCTTCCTGGAAAATGGTTGTACATCAGGGCGGTCTTGTTGGGGTCCAAGGCCACTGTGCTTTGCCCAATGAAAAAAGGGCTTCGGTGGTACGTTGTGGGCTTCACTGATACCCGTGGCGGCATCAGAACCCTCGGGCCTCCAGGGAGTGGCGTGTGGGTTGAGCGTGCTCACAAAAACTATGATGTAGAGAACCGCAGTTACAAAGAGGAGCACAAGAGGTTGAAATCTCTCCCTGGCCGGGGACTTGGGACCCCGGTGAGCTAGCAGGTTCCTACTGAGACCTTGGGAGGGCCAGCTTGGAGTCAAAAACCGTTGTCTCAAAGAGGAAGCACCGAACTGGTAGTTCACAAAAAGGAAAAGGAGGATGCTCAAAAACGCAGTGAAGAAGATCGACAACAGCAAAAAGGCCGCCAGTTGGTCTTGCCAGACCGAGTGCAGAGAGAACAACTTCGTCAAGGAGTCGTGGATCGGAATGTTCAAAAAGTCCTCCTTGACCATGTTCGAAGGGGTGGTTCCGCACTAGCTCCAGCTATTGGGCATAGCTGGAGCCTGATAGCTCATGGCCCTTATCATCATCATCATCATCATGACCTTGCCCACCCCGCTAGCCCAGTCGCAATAGGGTTGGCTGAGATGCACCATTCACAACCTTGCGCAGCAACATCGGTTGTTCAGTCGATTTGGCAGGTTCTTGGGACACTATATAGTGGGAATGTGATGGTGGTCATCAAGACCCTTTTCTTGTGATGTGCGCCAGAGCCAAGGTTTGTCCTCAGCATTCAGGAGAGCTGTGAGAAGCTATGGCATGGCAAGGTTGAGGTTTTGGAAGAGCACGGTCATGGCCAATGCCTTCGAACTTCCAAACCTCAGCCCTAAACAACCCAAAAAACAGCCCTAAACATCCCAAAAGCAACATCTCCCAAACCACCCCCGAAAAATGGTGTGTTGCGAGTCTGATGTGCTGATAGGGGTTGTGATTTTTCTTTGGGTTCGAATTGAGTGGACCTTATGACCTTATGCCTTCCAACCTGGCCCTGGCGGGTGAAAGCCACCCGGATGTTGCTTGGATTCAGATGCACAACCTACAGCCACGGAGGGTCGCATCGTATCGATTCACATCAGAATCTTCAGAATTACATTGGGATTGTAGACCTCAAGGGTCGCATCGATTGTTAGAGTTTGCTTAGCACTTTGTAGGACATTTGCCGCTTTGCTTTTTGCCATGCCATGGGTTCCCCTGAAAAAAGATGGGGCACATGGAGTCGTGGAGGGGCATTTTTGCAGAGCAGTCTTTGGAGAATGAGTGTCAGACTGGAGCACTGCCTGCGAGTCCAAGGGCAGGTGAGTTTACCAAGATCTAAGCCGTCCGCATGCTGATGCTCCTTGTGCTCCAGCCCCACTGTTTGTGGGTGCGCCCAAGCACCGGTTTGAGAAAAACATCACAGGCATTGGAAGGATTTCTGTACCTTTTGGGCAACACTGGAATCCACAACCAAATAACATGTTGGTCCATGTCATTGGTTGCTCCTAGTGAGCACTTAGCACTACTTAGTTCCCACTTAGCACCATCGAATTTGTATGGATGATTATGGGTGTGTGTTTGCACCTCATACTCGACTCACCTAACCTGCTCGTGGTTGCCAATGCCAACCTTGGGCTGCTCTTTGGGTCCAATTCATCGGGTTTAAGCACGCTCAACCAGACCAGGATTACAACTCACCAAATGTTTCTCCGACCCTTCGGAGCAACTTCCAACTTTCGCAACCGAACCGATCTCGAGTGAGCTATCCAGTCAGCCCTTACAGATCTCCTTTGTTTCCATTCAGCTCCACCTCCCACCTTTCCAACATGTAGCATGTTTTTATGGGCGGTGCCATAGTTATATTATTATTCCGGGGGCCCGTGTGACCTCTATGAATAAGATGTGTGTATAATTTTGACTGGAATTATTTTCTGACTTCTGGGTCAGCAAGGGGTGTAGAAAAAGGGGCCATTGGAATATGTTTGTTTGACAGACCCCCCCTCTACAGGCATGATGTGGAATAGTTATTGCCATCTTGCTGACATTGGTTTTTTCTCTCCTTGTGAGAGGGCTCATTGATGTGAAAATTACTGTATTCAGGCGTCACCTGGCCCGCGAACGCAGCCCTGTATACAGCCCACGACCTTTTTCCGGTACGTAGAATGCATCGAACAACGACAGGACACCTTTGGATCTCCCAGGTCCGGGAGGTGCGGTTCATTCTCCGTTGGTCTTACTCGAGCGCCTCGCGAGTCTCTCGAGTCTCGTCGGTCACACCCGCGGACGAGTCTCTCCAGCGGTGAAGGAGTTTGTCCAATTCCTCATCTACGCGTTTGGAGACGAGCTCGAGTTCGCTTGGGAGGAGGGAAACCGGTGAAGTCGAAGAAAAAAACAGAAGGATGACTAAAAGAGATGTACGAGAATTGAATACGCATGTCATATGCGAGTGTATTTTGATAGGGGGACCTTCCACTGTCTAGGGTGTTTGGTGGTTGTCCCTAATGTAAAAAATAGCCCTTTGCTTGACCAAAACACCTTTGTTTGAGGTAAATCATGCTCAGATAGTGCACCCAAAGCACTTGCACACAGGCCATCCACACAGGCGATTGCTTGCGATTGCTCTCCGAGTTCTTCAGGGGCTTCACCACGGGTCCCGGGACGCGCCGGGACGGCTCTTCCGCAGGAGTTGGATGACGATGGCTCTGGTGAGCTCTCAGAAGATGAATGGTTCGGTGCCGTGAAGCGCATAGGACTGAGCACCGTCGTGATGTCGCACGGGACTGTCTAGTTGTGACGTCGGGCGGGAAGTGTTGGGACGGCGCTAGGGAGGCCCATCCCAAGTTAGGATGTGAGTCAATGAAGTCCTTGTGGCGCATTGTTTGTAGATCGTTGGGCGGGCCACCCTATTAAAGTACTTTATCAAATGATGAGCCCCTAAGATGGACCTATCTAGGTCAGAGATTCCATGTCTTAAGTGCAGCGGCCCGATATGATGGTATAAGTGATGGTATAGTGATTTCAGCAACAGGTAGGCCACTTTTGGTGTCAAGGGGCGCCTGCTGATGGTCGTTGGCATGTGTTGAAGTGGGGTTTTGAGGGTAAGCCAAAGCAGGCAACAGGCAGGTGTTGAGAAGGTCGTCTAGGGAAAGGGCGATGGAGTTGGCACTACCACTGTCACTGTTAATTTGATTCAAGCCTTCACAACAGATCGCCATCGACGGCAACAGCTCTGGTACAGCCAGGCGATTCTCAGGTCGCGGGATAGCAATGAACATCTCAGAATGACCATCAGATTTGAAGGCCTCCAACAACTTGTACAACCTTTGAGCAACATTTGGCACCCCCCAAAAAGCCTGCACCCCTGGTGTCTTCTTCACGCCTGTCGTCCCACGCGGTGCGGAAGTCTTCACTTCCCCCCACTTCGAAGGATACTTCGGCCCGGCGCGGGTGGTCTTCGCTCTCCTGGACGGCTCGGACGATGGGAACATCTCCTGGGACGAGTTCAGTGAACTGGAGAAGTGACCGGGCGCACTGGAGAAGCCCGCCCAGCTAGGACGCGGGAGACGTCCGGGCGTGCTGGACGTGGGAGAAAGGCCATGTTAAGCGATTGATGAAGAAAAACCTGCACAGATGAGCCTTTAGGTGGTTTTAGATGCTAAATGGGGAGTTTGGTTGAATCTTCGCCTTGTTTTGGAGGGTGAGATCCGTGGCCTAAAAAGCGAGGCCTTTGAGGAAGGTAGGGTTTTCCATGGCCATGGTCATTTTCTCAGAGATTCGTAAGGTTTGAACGCAGGGTTCCGCGGGGTCTTATATTATGTATATATAAAACTGTATAAACTATAATGTGTCTTTACCCTTGTGGTTTGGGGCAACTCACCTTTTAAACCAGAATGAGGAACATGCCATTTTCTGAATGTTTCTGAACAGGTCGGGTCACAGAATTCTTTGTTTGTGAGGATGACTTCAGGGTTTTATGCATGCATCTTTGAGGAACTTGTGCTGAACTATACTAGTTATGTAGTGTGACGTAGAGGAAAGATCAGGAAAGTTTGAAGTTTTAATGAATTTGGAACTCCATAGTGTTTTGAGCAATCGCGGGAACCAGCATTCAATGTTCAATGCCACAAGGTCTAGTCCGAGTCGAGTGACTAGAACATACTACAGCCAAGAGGAACGCTCATTGGCAACCCCAGTTCTACTGAGCTTATGGTGCGATATAGTGCGACCCCTTCAAATTCCAGATCTCCGAGCACCAGACTTGGCCCTCCATATTTCCCCAGGTACCGCCCTCAGAAATTGAAGAAGAGCTGAGCTAGCTGGCCACTGAGCATCACCGAGAGCATGAGAGTACTCAGATGGGCCTCTATCGGAGGTGGTCTTAGCAAAAAAAGGAGTTGGAGAAGCCACTTAGCAATAAAAAGGACAATGGAACACATGGCTGCGTAGCGTGCTGATGAGTTCTATGAGGCCATCCTCCTGGCACCAAAGGTTTTCTTTTTACCAGGCCGAAATGAAGTTTCGTTCCTGACAGCCGGTCATACCGCTCCCCGAATGGGTGATGCATGGTGATGCCGAGTTGGGCAGTATAGTTGCGCTCTAAGCGCCACCTGCGAAACATGGACCGTGCCGCTGTGCTGCGCTCGGATTCCCAGGCGATGAGCACCTGAGAAACTCGGAAACAGGAAGCAAACTTGAATAACCCTTTTGGGCACTGGGATTAGTTTGGTGCCGGGGGCATGTTTGAGCAAACATATGCCAGGTGGTACCCCGACGAAATCCCTACTATACCTCCCCAAATATCACCAAATTCATGCAAGTGTCCCAGATACCGTCCAAAGAGTTGGGTCGAGCGATTTGGATAAAACCAGGTCCATGTGAAATTGGGACCAGGTCCATGTGCTTTGCTCGAGCGACCGATGGAGCCACTCAGGACGTCGTCGAGTACCAGGCGCGAGCGGCGCGAGCTGAGCTTGGGGAGCCCAGGAGGGAGCGAGCCGGGAGGTCAGGGAGGAGCTCCGACAAGTCCATGGGAAGCTCAAGAAGGATCAAGACTGAAGTCCGATGAATCAAGGAGGATCAAGCTGTAGACTTGGTTTCTAGTCACTACCATGAGGGAAAAACACATATGCTTTTCAATGGGTTTGCTACTCCGGGATGTGGCTTCAAAGGTCAGACCCTGGGGACATGACCCTGGAACATGCTGCAGCATAATCGGCATAATGCTTTCCATTTAGGTAGGGTTTGAAGGGCACCCAATTGATCGGAATGTGATGACTTGCATTCTCGCCTCGGAGCTGCTGCGTTTCTGAGGTCTGAGATGATTGATGGCACACCTGTCACAGTGCCCACCTCAGACGTGAATTGACAGTCAGATGGGTGGCAGGTCGTCATGTTGCTAACAGGATGTAGCAAGTGAAACATCGTGAAACCCATCAGGATTCTTGGCCACCATCTATTTGTACAGATCGTTCAGTCGGAATCCCGCGTCAGTCACCAGGCTTCGCGTCAGTCACCAGAGTTTGGAGTGGGCGAGGTCAGTTGAGCATAGCTCGGGTGGTGGCTTGTCCTGTCGATTGTGCTCAGCTGCATGGTCCAAAGCTTCGCACGGCAACGTTCAAAATCAGTGGAACAGGAAAAAGACACTCTACACTAGCACTTCCAAAGGAATGCTGAACTTGGAAGTCGGGGTGCCCATCTCACATCCCCAAGCGGATGGGATGGGACGAAGAAAAACAAGCCACCGAACTCCATGAACTCCCGGTAGGCCTTCAAATAAATATATAGTCTCCTTTCCAAGAGTATTTGCAGCCTTGGGAACTCGCAAGCTCTCGCAAGGACGTTAAACCTCCCCGCCTTGGCTGGGCAACTCCGGCTCGAAGCAAAAAGACAGGATTTTCTCGTTCACCCCAGCACATGGCGTCATGTGAACCCGGACGCGAACACCCGTGAAATACGTAATACATCTACCATCATTTACTCTATGAGGACGTGGCATTTGTGTCCAAAAAGCTGAGGCCGCTGAGCTGGACCTGGCGAAGAAGGCGCCCAGCCGACCTGCCGGAGATTGTTCCATCGACCTTCTTTCCTCGCCTCGGCTCGGCACCCTCAATCATGAGCCCAGTTCGTTTGGAAATTGCCTCAGTGGCAGAACATGCAGAACTCAGGAAATACCTAACCTTAGCGTAAAATTTCAGGGATAGTGCCACCTAGGTACCTACAGTATCTAGGGCAGGCTGTATCTCAGGAACATCCTGCCGAAGGATTTGAAACGAGAAATCGACCAGTCAGTGGCCAAGTGGCCAATGTGTACTTCCAGGTCAGTGAGAGAACAAAGAGTGTTCGACTTTCCATTCCCCAGTGGCCCGAATGTGAGTGATATTCTTGGAGCCGAAAGGAAACTTGGCAAGACGGCTTGTGGTCCGCGAACGGGACCCGCGAGGGGATTGTTGTGAGACCCGGAACGAACTTCAGTATCGGAGTTTAACCACCAATAGCTGCTGTATCGGAGTTTGGTTTTTGAGGTTGCTGGCTGGCGGTGTCCATAACTGGAGTTGCCCGTGCTGGGCTATTTGGTGTCCTGTTTGGATCGGCCATGACGACTCCATTGCCCATTGGCTAGTCGCCAGTGCATGGCGAAAACAGTGCTTCAAGATGTTCCAAGCAACTATACACTTGTTTTGGCCAAGGCTCCAGGTTCCTCCATAGCGCTTTGGCCAAGATACTTTAAGACGTTCCAATAGATGTGTTACTAGTAGCTTCTGAAGTGATGTTCATAGCAATGGCCTCCAACCTGCGACCGCGATGGCCTCCAACCTAGTGGCTTCTTGTTACTAGATGTTTCAAGATGTTTCAATCTAGATGTTTTTTTGTGCACCAGAGGCGAACCTGGTCGAAAAACCTGGAGCCTGAGTCCAGCCGCACGTCCGATCACGTCCGATCTCTGTCGCACGTGCCCCTCCATCGCTTAGTCTCCCGGTGGCATGACCCACCGGTATGTCAGGATGGTTCATGTTTTATTCTTGCAAAAAGTGTGGAGATCAGATACATCGTTTTCTACACGGTTTGTCAGCTGAACACGGTTTGTCATGTTCGTGTACACGAACACGTATCTACGTATCGTGTCTTCCATGTTCAGCGTCCGACCTTTGCAGCGGAGGACGCGGCGAAGGAGCGGCCGCGCTGCCAGCTGCCGCTGATGAAGTCACTCGACGTCGGGTGGACCCCCATGCGTCCACCTACGAAGCGTATCGGATCGTAGGACGATCATAGAGGACAGACATATATAGTACCACATGGGATGGAGTTCTTTCGGTTATATACAGACTCACTCCTATGTACATCGCCAACAATTGATACGTGCTTATACTGTAAGCATACTTGCCTCGATCATGTGACCCTTCGGACATCTCCATTGCGGTGGAAGGGTCTGAGGGTGACACTGGCACACAAGGCCTGAGACATGATGATTTGTTGCGTGAGCCGTTGTCGAAATTGCCCTGCAACATCATGCAACTAGAGCCCCGTAGGTCCGTCAAGAAAGTGGAGAACTGGTGAGTTCCCACAATTGTCTTCTAACCACCTTTGGTGCTTCTGGTGATTGATTGGAAGGTTTGATTGCAAAAGCCAACATAAAGCAACTAGACAACCCAACTCGTGCCATGCCGCCATGCCTACTCATTTGACTCATCATCCCATGGCCCAGCGACATCCCCACTATATAGGCCTCGTAAGAGCGCGGGGCGTGCGAGTTTGGACGTGCGCATCTTAGTTAAGCAGATCATGGGTTTTTAAGGGGCCGTGGATGTTCAATGAATGAGTCATTCATGAGGCTGTGATGATCCGGATGATCTGATCAGATCATTCTACAATTCAAAGACTTATAGGGTTTCCTCATAAACCTTGGAAGAACCTTCGAAAACCCTAGATCTTAGGCAGTTTTTAGCTGCCTAGGCCGACAGACCCATTTCTGGTACCAAGCCAAAACTTGCGTGTGGAATACTGTCTTTTTGACTCCTGCTTCCTCGATTCATCTTTCGTCTTGAGGCGCCAGCGTCGATGAGGCAGGGATTCAGAGTTTGTTGGCTCCTTCCAGGGATTTCCTGGCTCAGCCACCAGGCGACCGGAGAACAGACTGTACCGGATTCTCGTTTTTTTTACACCAACCCCATGGGCAATCATGTGTCAAGTTTTGAAGATGGCAAGTGGATTTTGTTGAATCACAAGAAAACTGCCCTTTCTTCCAGGGGCATATGCCGCATTTGCCAATGTTGTTGTTCTTCCCCCAAGAGTTGCTGAAGTGGTAAGTGGTTTTCAGAAGGACCACCCTAATTGCACCAATCAATGGCCAAGCCATGGTTGAAATTCTCTTATAGATTCGTACACTGTCCGCCCCATCCACCTCTTGGAGCTTGTGTCATTGGTCATCCCACAGAAACAGATTTTCATTCCTCCTGCACAACGGGTGCTGTGATGTGTCTTTTGTTTGTTATGTGCGCTTTGTTGATGCTTTGCTGATTTGCTAT